AAAAAAAAAAAAAAAAAAAAAAAAAGAAAAAAAAATGCAATAACGATATAGATATACACCGGGGAGTAAGAATTCGGAAAACAAATTTTACCAGTTAACAAAAAAGAAAAAAATTGGTGCTTTTCACAACAAATTCTAGTTGAAACAAAAAAAATATTAGTGCCATAACACGTACAGATAAATAAATAATAATAATATGAAAACATATTAAGAAATATAAAAAAAAAAAGAATACACCCCGATAGTTCAAAGAATTGAGCATTTGTATAATTAAGTAAAGCATTGCAACAAACCCCATCATTACAAAGATCTCTGTATTTTGTTAACTTAGGGATTTTACGACGACACTTAATCGTTCACTGAAAATAGACTTATAACTCTCTCTCTATCTCTCTCTCTCTCTCTCACACACAAACACACGCACACACATAAAACATGCGCACAGACTCAAACATTCATGCAGATAGACACCGACACATATTAAGTGTTCAGCTTTTTTAATTCATTTTTTTGCTTTGCTTTTAACAAAAAAATAAAAAACAACAATAATAATCCTTTACAGCTGCATAAATATTTATCCAAATTAAACAGAAGGGGACGAGTGAGAAGAAAGAAGAAAAATAAATAAAGAAAAAAAAAACGGGAAAGTGAACTCAATTAAAGCATTCCACCACAAATGAGAAAAAGAGATTTGAGATGATAACTACAAATATGGATGAAAAATATGGGTGGTCGACGAATCATATGATTAAAAAAAATATTAATGTTAAAGTTAGATAAGAAAACAAGGTTTTCTTTTTTTTTTTCCTTTGTTATCCTAATTTCTTCTTCTTCTTCTTCTTCTTCTTAATCCTGTTCTTGTTTTTGCCCTTACTGCTGTCCCCTTTGCCAGAAAAGAAACGTCAAACTTAGTTAAAATGTTGATTACTGCTATTATTTTCTTTTTTTTTTTTTTTTTCTTTTTTGTCTGTTTATTTGTTTCTCCCTAATATATATTAGTGCTAATAAATTTGTTGCTAATTTTTTTTTTTTTTTTGATAGTTATTGGTAGCGGTGCTTAATGGCGGTGTTTTCTGGATAAAACTGAAGCAACATAAAAAGCAAATAAACAACCGATAAGATATATACAATTTTTTTTTTTATTTTCTTCTTGTTATTGTTTTTTTTCCCTTAATTTTTCTCCAATTCAACTTCTTCTCAATTCCTTCTTAATCTAAAAAAAATTTTTCTAATAAAACTGACTTATTTTCTGTTAATGTTAATAATTACTATTGCTCTCAAAAATTTTCAACCTCATTCATAATTGTTATTATTGTTATTTTTTTTATTACTACAAATATTACAGCTATTTTGTCAGTCTCTTTTTTTTTTTTTCAGAAGTTGTCGGTGGTACTAGTGACGCCTGTAAAATGACGTTGTTTTTCACCAAAAACAGTTAAGTAGCTGTTCTAATGAATTAGTCAGACTGTATGAAACAATAAACTGTGAAAAAAAATAAAAACCTATTAACCATTTTAAGCCAATTAATTAAAAAAAAAAAATGGAGGAAGACTAGAACGTCAAGTGCCATTAATATACGGCAAGGAAATTATTTTTCACTTTTTCTGTTTCAGTTTCTTAGTTTTGTTTTTTCTTCTTCAGTTTTCTTCCCAGATAGAAAAGAAAAGGCAAGGAAACAAAGCAACTGTTGATTAATACACAGTTCCCTGAATTTCTCATCAATATGATATTGCAAATGGTGAACCGGGAACCTCTTCTTCACCATACTTAACAAAAATAAAGCCTTTGACACGATCCTGAATTCGATACTGTACGAGGAAGTTACCTCCGCCAGTATGCTTAACAGTTACTTCTTCGCAGGGACCTTTTGTAGTTACAACTCCAACAAACAATAGATTTATACCTGTAAAAATTATTTTCAGTTACAGGAATCATTAGTAAAAAAAATGCTACTTTTTTGATTTCTAACAACCATAAACAGACAGTCCGCAATGGACTGTATGATCAGTTTTCAAAAATTGATACAATATCTTTTAAACTACTTACCGGCTAATCCAGTTTCAATGTTGAATATTGCTGGTCGCCCTGGGAAGAACTTGTTTAGGCCTGCACCTTTAACAACTACTTTACTAGCATCACCAGTGAAAACTGGAACTTGTGCAACCGTTCCTTTGCTAGTTTTAGCTAAGGCGTCAATCTAAAAAACCTTATTAACAAAAAGCACAATTTTTTTTTGGCTTTTGAGTGCCAAAAACTATTGAATCTTTGAGAATAGATAATAAAAAATAAGTAAAATTTGATTAACTTCAAACTTCAATTAACAGTACTTGAACAAGTTGAAAAATTAAAGCTTACCTTAATTAAAGCACTATCAGCTTCTGTGTTACCAAGTTCGCTACCAGTTACCATAATTTTAAATGGTGAACCAGGTATATGAACACCTGAAAAAAATAATTTTCATTAATATTTGACCGCTACTAAGACACTACTGATATTTTTATGCAAGATCAGAATCTCAAAACATGCCTGAATACTTGATCGCTGCATAATATGGTCCAGGAACTAAAGCCATATACCTTACTTTGTAGCCAAGTTCTAGCTGTAAAGCAGTTTGTTTACAAAGATGACGTTTTTTTTAGAATTGCTAGCAGATATCCAATATGAGACTTACCTCATAAGCATCCAAAGTAACCTTTGAGGGACCGTCAATTTGCACTTGAAGTAATCCTGAACCTGCATTGCACGTATTGATGACAAACTCGCATTTCTTTCCAGTTTCACCTCTACGTATACCATCACCGCTAACTGTTATTGCAGTTGGATCATTTTCTTCGCGAGAACCAACACGTAAGCGGAAAGGTGAATCTCGCATTGGAGCTCCATCCAAAGTTACATCTATATAGTAGTTACCCGTCTATAAAATTAGGATTTTTTAGCATTTACCGCCGGTTAATTAGTTTATTATTTAAAGCCTCTTTTAAACACTTCTGAAACCTCATGTGGAATGAAGCGTAAAGCGTATGATTCGCCTTCTTCAATCGGAACGATATCAATCGTTTCTGTGTTGTTTGATGGAGTGTGTACTTTTGCTTCTAAATGACCAGCAGCTCTATGCGTTAAAACAGTAAAAGTACATGCCTTTTCTGGCATACATGAATCGGGGAATGATGCAAGCTCCAAGCGACGAGCTTCACCAGTAGCTGGAGCAACAAATACCTGTAAAAAGTCAGTTTTAATCTACTTTTGTACTGAACAGAAATACCAGCGATAAATAAAAAAGCCATAACCAACTTTAAATGGTGAATCCGGAATATGATCGCCATTAAATCTCGTGCTGATTACATAGATTCCAGGTACTGTGACTTTGTAATCCACATGACAGTTGCCATCCTAAGGTATAATAAAAACTGATACTGCTTTGTGGAAACTTGAAACTTGCAATTTTTCCACTTAGCTCCAAAAACGAAACACAAAACCAATGCCGTAAAAAATTACGTAACAGTGCTGTTGAAATTATAAACTGTAAATTGAAATAAACAGCAGTTGCTCAAAAAAAAAAACAATTTTTCATACTCTATGATCTTTGAATTCCATTTCTGCCTTTGACGGCCCTTCAATAGCAACTGCCAAAGTTCCTTTTCCTGCCTCTCGCGTATAGATATTAAAGGTCTGTTTATAGTTGGTTTCGGCGCGGAATAAACCAACACCTGTGGCGCGCACTCTATGAGCTCCCGTCTCGGTAAATGGTCCAACAGTGAAAGGAAGTGGACTTCCTAGAAAAACCTTTAGCTTTTTATTACAGAACATGCAAATAAATAAGTTGTCACAAAGTAAGTCGTTATCTGACTAAAAGACTAGTCGCTAAACGCTGTTGAAACATAAAAACACTATGAATAAAAAAATTCCTCTTCCTCTTCTTCACTGAAAAAAACTGGAATTGAACTGAAAAATCTAAACCTGAACACTAACCATTAAGATGCTGGTCTTTATGCATAACCGAAATTGCATGTGATCCTTCCATTTCTGGTTTCAGTTTTATTTGATAGAAATTGTCGCCCATATCTCTCATTTCGATATCCTCACTAACACCCTTCGGGTTCATAACTTTGGCGGTCATCTCCATTGGCGACGTATTTGGCAGCTGTAGGAACAAAATGCCATCCTGACCAGGCATTATCAGTGGTGCCTAAACAAATGAACAGTCTCACCAGCAAGAATTCGGTGTGTTTTATAAATACGGGCTTCTGTCAATCTATCTAATAGCCATTTTCGAAATACAGATAAAACCAGTCTTAACCTGCGAAACGGTCTTTGTGATTTCTTGCTTAACAGCTCCAATACCTTTACCCGTGCAGTTCACCGTGAATGGACTATCTGAAAGTGCGACCGTTTCAGAGAGTTTTAACGCTACGCCAGTGTTAAATCAGATACAATTAGAATAAGAAAAATATTTTTAAAACTAACCTTCAACGTGAAGATCAGCAAATTTGACGGAAAGTATATAAATTCCAGGTTCTGTAGGTCGATAAGAAACATCTATAAGTCCATTTTTCGCTTCCTTGCAGTTAAGTTCGCATTTTGATGGACCTTCGATAGATACCGATAAACCTCCGTAGCCTAAAACCAATTGCAAACTGATATAAAGTCAGGAGTGCAGTATAAAAAAGTTAAGCAAAAAGGTAATCAGAAAGCATAAAAGTTAAATTGGCCACTTTAAAAGACTTTGTTTAGTCTTCTTAAGAAATGACTTTGGAAGTATTCCTTTCGTTCAAAATTTTACCTGCATTACGTGTATCAATAGTTATGTCGTTAAATTGTTGACAGACGGCTTCTGCACGACCCTTTCCAGTAACAATGACTTTTGAAGCATCACCAACCTGAATCAGAAACAGTATCAATTTAAGTGAGAGAAATTAGTGTAAAAAAATAATTTATTTTAAAGTAAATGTTTGAAAACAAAATAATTTTCCGAATAAACGTTCAAATATTGTAATTTTATCAAAAGACAGAACATAAAAAAGTTATTTCCCTTTCCAACTATGTATGGCATTATCTTCCGAAGGTACCAAAACTTACTTGACTTTTATCAACCTTTATCTTAAATGGAGCTTTTGGAATTACTGTTCCGTTTCGCTTTACTGTTATCCAGTGATCGCCTGCTTCACGAGGCGTAAATGAAACACCTAAATACGATTACATATGTTAAAGTCTCTAATTAGGATTCTTTTGTTTACCCCTTTGCAATGAGCCAACAATCTCAATTTGAGTGGGAATTAGTTTTAAGGCATAATCCTAATCTCTTACCAAAAAATCACGGCCTTAGAAGGTACTTTTTATGTATCCTGGAAAACTTGCTGTTGCAAACAATAGCTCAGTTCCTTATCCATTGAGTTTCTAAATTTTAGAACTAAAACTTTAAGTGAAAGCTATGTATTTACCAAACACTACTGTCGAATGACATTTTGAAATGAGACAATTTAACTCAATCAGACATTTCATTCTGTTTTATTTTACTCATCTAACTTTGAGATTGTTAATCTTTTTTTTAACCATTAATCTTTTTTCCCCTTCAGTTTTATTTTAATACACAGTTAGCTTCGGTCCGTTTAATTTTAAGAGCTTTACAAAAATTTGTAAAATAAAATTACGATATAATGATACCAATATGCGTAGCATCAATCTGACGAATATAGCATGGTTCTTCTATACCAGCTGGACTTTTAATTGATGCAGAAAGACCCTTTAACTCAGGAGCGGAAACATTCAAAGACACCTAAAAATAACCTGGAATTGTTTCCGCCAGATAATACAGACAAAATCCAAAAACTTTTTTTTTCTCGTTTATCTAAATTCCACAGAAAAAAGCAGCATAAAATGGACACCTCAGACGTAGATCCAATAGAAAGATGGGCACGTTTTAACCCCTCACCAGCAACAAAGGCAGTAAAAGGCGAGTTTTTGACCGGCTTGCCGCCCAACTTAACGTGAATTTTGTACTCGCCGGGTACAGGCGGAACCCAAGCAACTGAGCATGTTCCATCCTCAAATGAAACAATTAAACAACATAAATATCTTGAACAGAACAAGCAAATGCTAAGTTATGAAGCAATAAAGACCGGTAGTTTTCAAAAATGAACAATCAAAATACCTTGTTGTCATGGCATTTAATTGTAGCTTTTGCAGTTCCTTCAACTGCCACTGATAGTTCTTGGCTTCGACCTTTACTGCAAACAGTGAAGGCAGCAGGTTCACCTACAATAGCACGAGAAAGGCCAGGACCATATAATGTTACAGCTCCACCATTGAAGTTATCGACAAAGAATGACATTGGACTTCCAGTAATATTGACACCATTGTGCTGTATTGCTAGTTGATGTTGCCCGAACTGTGCAGGTCTATACATCACAGAAACTGTACCATCATGATTGTCCTACAGTAGCAACGAAGATGATAAGAACATAACTTTATAGCACAAATAAATTAAAATTTCTAAAGTTACACGTAAGAATTACCTGTATTTGAGCAGTATCTGTTTTACCAGACGGCATAGTTACTACTGCAGTAAGACTTTGCAAATCCAAATCAGGGGTTACGGCAAATTTAAATGTTTCAACTTCTTGTACTTCAGCTGGAGCAGCTTCACCTAACTCAGGAGTGCGACTGAGGTATACCTGATCTTCCGGTGCTGGAAACTGAGGTGGAGGAAGACACTAAAAATAGAAACAAGTAAAATAACATTGGTAAAATATGTTAGAATATTGCATAAACATTATGAATTGCAAAAGAATGGTGGATGAAGTAACATAAAAAAAGAATGAGTATTTTTTATATTACACCGGTAAATCTT